GATACAGGTAGGAGAAAGTACGACAGTGCAAAGCAAAAAAAAAACAATTCCTCGGTTTCCTCCTTCAACCTATAAAAGGAAAACAACACACGGTCATGTAAAAAAAAACAAAAAGAAAGAATGAACCCAACCATCTAAAAAAAAAAGATGAGAAAAAAATATCACGCATGCTTGTCCCCATTGAAACATTAATGTCATAAAGAACGCAAAGCATACATACATGTACATATGTGCATATATATATGTTCATTATTATTACTGTTTACGCAATTAAAAATATATACCCATAAGGTAGGACCCTCCTTTACAGAATCTGTGACACCCATCCAACGTCAAATGTAGTCATGGCGAAGAACGATTCGGCACACCCAGGCAGCAAAGCTATGCCTATCTGAGAGCTGAAATGAAGACAATGACGTTTGCATCAACTCGTCGGCGCCATGCTGATACAATACCTCTAGCTCGACCTTAACCCGCAGCTGCTGCATTTTTAGGGCCTCCGCATACCAAGCCTTGACGGCATCAGTGTCAGTCCCTTTGCATCCCTCGCTGAGGCCACGCCATCGGGACAAGAGATTCGCCATCATTGCCGTATCGCGCTGAGTGAACGGCTGAAAGGGAAGAGAAGGCAGCAAACGCAGAGGAGGAGGAGGCTTCGAAGCCACAAGCGGGTGTGATGCAACAACCCCTGGGTCAGACCCTTGCAAAATGTGAGGACTTCGCAAACCAAGCCAATGTAGAGCGTGGACAGCACTGTACTGGCTCTCACGCATACCGCCTGCGCTATATTTGTACTGCTGCAAAATAGAGAGTCCACTTGGGTTGTAGTCAACAAGAGCCACAACGGGAACACGCGGGGCTGCTCGATGCAAATTAGACAAAAGTGTTCGAGCCGCAACAGTAGGGAAACCGTGAGAGGTAAGCAACACACATGGGACCCGTTCAAAAATACGTTCCTCCATAAGCCTAAAAAATATGGCGTGCTTCTCTACAACGATGAGGTAACGCGTCTGCCCATGAAGTTCAAAGCCAGTGATGGCGTCTTCCTCCCTCATTGCTACATATGTCCCCTTGACACTACCCAGTACGACTCGCAACTCTTCCCGCGTCGTCGGCAGCGGCAACCCCTCCGATCCACTGTAGCGCAGATCAACGCCGTGAAAACTCAGTGACCCACCAACACACCCACGCGTTCCAGGCACGACACCAAGCCACTGCCGCGGAATACCAAGTATCTGTACGAGCTGTTGGATAGCCCGGTTAATGCATCCCTGATCAGGAACGAGGCGGGCAAGACGGTAATAGACATCGCGTTGCGTGCTGAGTATTCCAAGATGAAGATTGTGGTAAAGGAGGTGAAGGACTAAGAGCTGCAATCGTATTACACTTAGCCGACCTTCCCGAAGTGCCAACTGCTGCGTTGTACTCACAATCTCGTAAATTGTCCGCAGCACAAACACCTCCATGCGACGCACAGCCTCAGCCGTGAGAGCAGCAGGCGTGTTGGCCGCCACGATGTCCGGGCTTATGAAGTCACTGTCGGTGGAGTCAACAAAAAGCCTCTGATTCTGTTGTGTTTTTGACTTCTTTGCTACAGCGGCGGCGGTTGTTGTCATTTCTGCTGCTTTTGATGATAATGCGACGGCAACCTCTACCACCAAAGCACAGTGATGATGTGGGGTGAACGGGTTGAGATAGGCATTTTGTGAAGGAAGACGCAGAGGAGAGAAGGTACACGTGTATACATTAGGAATAAAAGTAAAACGCCATATGTCACACCTTTGCCAAGTGTCTCTCTCGCATGCAACGGCACCCCCCTTCATTTCCCAGCTTCGCAGCAGCTCAGCTCGCTCACTCACACACGCAGAGGTAGTTTTTTTTTCTTTTCACCAACAGCACCATTTTTATTTTTTATTTTGGTTTCAGCTTGTTTTTTTTTGTTTTTCACGTTTCTTCTCTCACCCCCTCCGGTGTCAGCTCTCCACTCGAGCCCTCTTCCGCATATCGCGCTGCCGCTGCGCCCACAACTTTGACACGGACTGAGAGAAATCCACATGAATGCGGTGGTCGTCTACGAGGACCTTGTCCATCTTCTTGAAGGCCCGGTAACAGGCCTCAACGTCTTCAAACTCCACAAAACCGTAGCACAACGAGTTGCCAGTTTTTCGGTCTCGCAACACCTCCGCCGACAAGACACGACCACACTGAGAAAAACACATCTTGAGACCCTCATCATTGGTGAACGGATTCAGTTTACACACAAATAGAACATTCTCAGGTGGTTTTAGTTCCCCAGAAACATCTGCGACACCGTCCAGCAAATTCAGCATAAGGGCGCGAGTCTCATTGAGCTTGTCCTGATGCATTCGCATAATCGTCTGATGCCTGCTCTCACGCTCCTTTCGAGACTCTGCATGTGGAGTCTCGTCATCGGAGCTAAGGTAGTCGCCATGGTAATGTGGATTGTACTCAACAGATTCCACCTCATCTGCATCACTCATCACATGCGATGCCCCTCGTAAAGGGCTCTCGCGAATCAGAACAAAATTGGTGCCTTGGGATCCCTTTGCCACTCCTTCTGCAACCGAGGCATCTTTTATGGTTTTAATGAGCGCACAATTCGCAAACCGCACCTCCCCCTTGGCAGCCCAGTGGCGGAAGCAACCCGCTGCCGCGAGCGTCGACCCTAATTTATTCGACTGCACAGAAGCAGAACTATCACTACTGCTGTTACACCAAACATCTTGAAACTTCTCCGTCCCTGCTGTGGGCAAAACGGTTGCATGTTTGATGCGTATAAGCCGAGTAAGACGCGCCCCAATGGCCGATGCGGAAGACGTCCGCTGATACGGAGCAGCTCGTAACTTCTCAATAACGCTAATGCCCTCACGCACCTCACCCACTACCATAAAGCGGTCCTCAAAGTAGTCAAGGTGACGATTTCCCAGCGTCAAAACAAGCGCGCTTTTTCGAACAGGCACGCCACTGCCTGTTAACTCCACCTTCGGAGGCACCTCAAGAAGTAGTAGACCTCGACGATTTATCGAGCCTGCCTCCTGTGTGGCGGGTTGCAGTAAAAACTCCACTGACATTGTCCCATTGCGCCGCTGCAAATGAGCCGTATGCCTCTTCATCCGTTCCCATTCCCCCCGCACTAACTGATCCATATTAGCTGCTGACTTACCTCCATATCCCTGCGTGTGTGAAGACGCCTTTTCCGCCAAGGAGTGAAACGTCAATCCTCTCAGTGACTCAACCGGATGTGAAAAGATGATGATGTTATCTGGTACCACCTCTGTCACTATACAGCCATTGAAGTACTTGCAGCGGCACATGTTGACTAGTTCCGCTGTTGCAGCAGGGCAGTCAAGACCGTAAAGATCAATTACAAAAGCACCAGCGGAGGTCTCAATAAGCACAGCTGATGTCACCAAAGGACGACAGCTCTTTGGCGGCGGCGGCATCCGTAAGTGCACGTATGTATTTGGCACCGCCTTAGTTTATTGATTCACCTCTCAAAAAATGGTTTCCCTGTAGCCGTGAAGCGATGATGTCAACCCCTGCGTTGTATACTTCTTCCAAATTCCCTCTTCAGCCCAGACATACACATATAAACCTGCACCGCCTTCCGTCCCCTTGTGTGTAAGTGAATATATCTTGCACCCCTCACCTTTGGTCGTCCCGGGCACGCAGACTAAACACACAAACGTAACAAAAGAGCAAAAAAAAAAAGATAAAACGAGGGCAAATCTAAAAAAAGTAACAGGAGAAATGAATCACAGCACAATAACCTTTTCTTTTTAATGTCATGAAGACTGTCACAGAAAAAAAAACGGTTTAAACAACAGGGAATGAGTAACACAATTTGTTCGTTCTTGCCATTCCTCCCTGCCCTTCTTCACAAATGCACCACACCGTTTCACAGACGCACCAAGAGGGAAAACGAAAAAGGGACAGTCATTTGCGTTCAATGTACGTTGCGAGAACCCACCCTTTAAAACAAACCGGGCACTCTCCCCGTTGAAGGCACCAACTTTGTATGCAGTGCCCGTGGAAGGTATGATCACATACCCCACGCACTACGGGGCAGTCCTCCACAGCCTTCCCCTTCTCACGACAGCCCAGGCAACGTTCCTCCAGGTGCAACTTGCACACTGGACACTCAAGCGCCGCAATTACCGGGTTCTCAAAAGCAAAGAACAGAACCGCTTCCTTCATTTTGACGGGAATACACGCCTGCTCGGCGCTGGTGCTCCCATGCGTCATTGAATAAATGAGGAGTCGCAAGGAAGCAAATTAAAAATACATGTGATTTTGTTGGAAATACGCGGACAGTGTGTGCAATGGAAGCGGAGTATGCTTTGCCCAACCCTTCCTCAACGCCCCTCACCCCCCACCCTAAACGAAAAAAACGCAAGGCCGTGAACACAAAGAAAGCAGCGGAGTTTCAACAAAAACATTTTTAAAAAAACATCAGCAACAACAAGCACGCAAAACCACACATATAGAAAAGGGAACAAGAGCAACAAGGAAGGGAATATATATATTTCTGCCGCCACACGTCCCCTCTTACTTTTTCTTCTTTTTTTTTCGTGCGGGTAAGAAGAGGAAAATGATGCTGGCATCTGCGAGGCAAACACAACCGCAACTGCACCAGCGGCAGGAAGGAGAGCATGTGTACATGCCCACACACAAAAACAGCGACAACAAGAAAAAAAAACGGGGCCAAAAAACGTTGTTCCCCAATTGTATCACACACCAACACATAAACATCAACAGCCGCCTTTTGTACCCGCATCCCGTGTTTCTTCGCATTGGGCCTTCGTGTCAAGCGTATTCTTCTTTCCGTTGTGAATCTCCTCTCCCCTGGCACCCGACATTACTCATGCGTCAGTAGTCATTCCTAGTGGTCTTGGCGACCTCCCACTCCCTTCCGCAAATGGGGCACTGCAGATGCTGCCGCAACCACCTCGAGATGCAGTGGAGGTGAAACACATGGTTGCACACGCCCCAGACGATGAGACACTCCCCTGCGACATCGCCGCCCCATGCCAACGCTGCGGAAGCCATCGTAAGCTCTTGCTGTGGTTGCTGCGCTGGGTACTCCTGTCTCGACCCGGCACTTGAAGTCAGTTGGTTGCAGGCGGAACGATCACCCCAGTTACTGCTGTTTCCCTGCGCTGTGGTGGCGGTGTTGCTATTCCTGAGACTTTCCCCCATCCCACAGCACTCGATGCAGCGATCCGCTATTGCGCTTTTGCAAATGGCACAGGTTCCTACCTGCACATTCCACGACCACACAGCGACTGTGTCCCACTGTTTTGCCGTAATGCTGCAGACGGCCCCGTCGTTCGTCGTCGCCGCCGCTTCGGAGCTGCTGCCGTGTGGCACAGCTCCCTCCATGGAGTCGGCACCCGTGACGTAGCACAATGGATCTCACAGTGGCAGTTGCTGTCCTACCGCTGCTGCTGATGGTTGACGTGTCATTAGCATCGACCAAAAACAAAGAAAGAAAAAAAAAGAAAACATTCACAAGAAAAAAAATCATCAGCGTCCACTCTACCGCTAGCCTGCACTCATGCACCACGGTTCATCGTGTACAACGATACCCACCCACACAGAGAGAGACACTGAGATGCACCATATATATATATATATATATATATATATATATATATACACACGA